GAGTTCTGGGATTAAAGGTGTGCACCAATCTGCCCAGCCCCTAAATCAGAACTCTTAAACTGCCCATCCCAACTCCTTTTTGCCTAAGGAATTTTTATATTACCTTCTACAGTGTATAAAACAGTTACACATTTATATATCTACAGAAATATGTTTTAAAACTGTTGGTAAAATTATAATTTTGTCATAATTAAAGATGGAGTCAAATGTGCATACTAATGAGGTAAAGAGTTTATGTAATACAATACAATCAGAAGATAGAATAATTTGAAACTTATACAAATCTTTATATGCATGTGTATATGTCTGCATACATTTATGTGCAGCCTGTGCCTGCAGGGCCTTGCAGAGGCCAGAGAGTGCCAGATCCTCTGAAACTGCAGTTCCAGGCAGTTGTGAACCACCTGATGAGGATACTGTATGAAATTGTATCCATTTAGTCATCTCTTCCTTTCCCCAAAGATGTAATAATTCGATGTTTACACACTGAGAATGAGAACATGAAAATAAGTGAAAGTCTAGTTTTCACAATAAAGCCATTCTGTCTCTCTAAGGGCAGAAATCTTTGTATGTAGATCACAGATGCTGCAGTGTTTGTTGGCATTGCATTTTATAGGATAACACCATGGCATGCACAGTTCGAAGTGCTCATGTATGTTCAGGAGCAAGGTCACAGTGAAGTGGTGTGAAGCTAGATGGGAGCTGCTGTCATAAGCTCTTCAGATTCATCAGGCATGGGAGTTTGAATGAAGTTTTGGCTATTGCCTGTTCAGAAAGCTGCAGTTTTTCCCACAAGCCCCACAGTCAGGCAGTATGATCACCATCTGCAGCTTAGGAGACTTTGCTCTAAATAAATGAAAACTTTACAAAACTGTCTCTAAAATATTGTCAGTTTCTGACACTTTGCAGAGTTTTTTCCTGTTCCCTTTTCTTCTTTAAAGACTGTGGCTATGTAACCCTGGCTGACTTATATCCTGTTACATAGATTGTGTTGGCTCCCAGTGGTGGGATTAAATGTGTCACTACATCTGGCTTTTCCCAGCTTTTAACAGCTGTATGTGGTGTCTCCCAGTATTTGATACATCTATTCAATAATGAACCAACCTGCTGCTGTCTCTCCCATCCTTGGTGCCCAAAGAGTCCAGAATGCTTTCCTTCTAGGTCTATAGCTCTTTACTCTCTGAGGGTGATGCTGCCATTCTCTAGTTAGCTAGGCTGGCTGTAGGTGTTGGACCCAACCCCCATTAACCTGTGATTGTGTATTGCTTTATACTTATAAGATCCATTCTATTACTGCTATTCTACTTCCAATTTATTTTTAAGCTGATGCATAAATATACATATTGACAAGGTTCCATTAATTTTCAATGTGCATTCTCTAATGTTCAGATTAAGATAAATATATCTATCACTTCAAATACTTTTAAATTTGAATTTGTAATCAGTCTATTTAAAAACAACCTAAAGTTCCTTTCTTAAAGTTGTGTCTTTCTGGCTCAAGCAATGCTTTTAAATTCCAACTGTGGGTTTAGCATCAACTCATATATTTTATGTGTTTTTTTGAACAATGAAGTTTTTTGTACTAGAACCTTTTGGGTTTATTTTTTTTCTCACTAAAACTTGTTTGGATTTAGTGCTGGAGAGCTGGCTCAGCAGTTAAGAGCACAAACTGCTTTTGCAGAGAAGCTGAATTGGTGCCCAGCACCCACATCAACTTTCTATCATTTCAATTCCAGGGAATCTAACACTTGGGGCCTCTGTGGACATCAGCACACATGTGGACACACACACACACACACACACACACACACACACACACACACACACACACACAAAACATTAATTCAAAATAAATCTTAAAAAACCAAAAGAGGTGTGTTCATGTTGATATCAGGGTTGTTGCTTTAAGGACAAATGTCCTTTTATTTTGAGAGAAAGTGAAATCCCTTATCCATGCTCCTGACCAGAGCAGGAGGTGGTACTCTTTGCCTGTCAGCCCTTTGCATGTATCAGCCAACTCTATTAGCCAACTGGGTCTTGTCTTTGTTACTGTTCTATTGCTGTGAAGGGACACCATGACCAAGGCAACACTTATAAGAGAAAGCATCAAATTAGCTTACTTATGGTTTTAGAAAGGTTAGTTCATGATGATCATGGCAGGAAACAGACAGGCATGGTGCTGCAGCAGTAGCTGATCCAGAGGCAGCAGGCTTTTGAAGACCTTTTCAAAGACCACCCCCAATGACACACCTCCTTCAACAAGGCCATACTTACTAATCCTTTCCAAACAGTTCCATTAACTGGGAACCAAGCATTCAAATACATGAGTCTAGGGAAGCCATTCTCATGCCTTTTAATTTTTTTTCTTTTTTTAATTCGTTCTTTCAGACAAAATCAGAGAGTTGCTGTCTCCAGGTACACTGAATTCAGATACTCTGCTGGTCCTTGTGAATGCCATCTACTTCAAAGGAAACTGGGAGAAGCAGTTTGACAAAGAGGACACGAGGGAGATGCCTTTCAAAATCTCCAAGGTAAACACAGTGCAGTAGCAGAGGAGACTCTTGGGTAAGGTCCCCTGTTCACATTGGCTTCTGAAACACAAGGAGGCTGCTTCACATAGCCCATGCCTCTCATGTTTCTGGGCAGCTCAGCAGCCAGGTCTGCTCTCTCAGCTTGGAGGCCTTTCTCTTCCCTTTCCTTTTGCATGTTGCCAATGGTGGCTGCAGTCAACATGGGTCCAGGCCTGGCCCTGCTTCTCTCATTGGTCATGGTGTCACTGGCAGCTGTTGAGGTCAGACCTGATGGCAGAGCTCTGCAGTGTACCTTAAACAGTCTGCCATATACCTTTGCAGATATGGAAGTCTGAACTCCAGCTGTGGTCTCTGAGGCTCTTTGTGGCCCTGAATGAAGCCCATTCCTCATGATCCCCCTCAGTGGTGCACATTCCTTTCTTTTCAGTGTGACTTCCTAGAAGGGATGTCTTATGTCTTCTCCCTCCTTCAAGAGGACCACAACTCCAGCTGGTTGCCACGAAACAATGTAGTGGGAAAAGAACCTTTCTCACCCTGCTGGCAAAAGAGCAGAGGGCAGACAGCTGTCTACTGAGTGCCTGGCTTATGGC